TTTTTAAAAAGAATAAAATAATAATACATGCTACTACAAAAGTCAGGAATAAGCCAGGTGTGTCGGCACACACTTGTAACAACAGCACTCAGGAGGCTGAGGCAGGAGATTTGAAAGTGTGAGACCAGCCTGAGTTTTATCACAAGTTCAAGTCTAGCCTGGACTATGGCAACTGTGGCAATGAATACACAAACCACTCAATTATAATTTGGGAGTGCTGATAGTACTAGAGTTGAACCCAGGACCTTTGCAGTGGGCTACCTTCCCAACCCTTTGAAAATTTTTTATTTTGAGACATAATCTCACTAAATCACTAAATTGCCCAGTCTGGGTTTTAACTTTAAATCCTTCCAGTTCACCCTCCCAGACTTCTGGGATTACAGATGTGTACCATCACTCTAAAAATAAGTGAAATGTACGATTACATAAATTATACCCATTTTAAAAATCAATGCTATTGACATAAAACAAGATATTGAATCAGTAATTTAAAATCCACCCCCCGCCACACACAACTTCCACCACATCCAGGCCCATGCCTGTAATCCTAACACTCTAAAAGGCTGAGGCAGGAAGATCACAAGCTCAAACCCAGACTAGGCAATTTAGTGAAATATGTCTCAAAAAATAAAAAAGGGCTGGGAAGGTGCCTCAGTATGAAGACCCTGTGTTTAACCTTCAGTATCACCAAAAACAAAACAAAACAAAACAAAATCCAACTCCAAATGGCTTCACTGCTTAATTCCCAGGATTCTAAATCAATATTAAAAAATTAATTGTATGCATTACAATAGGAACAAGTAACTCTAAAATAAAATTAAGACAATTTTGTTCATAATACACAAAAAAGAATGAAATACTTAGGGAAAGGCATCAACCATGACAGGAAAAAAAATGACAGATTAGGCTTTATCAAAACAAAAAACTTTGGTAATACAAAATATACTACTAAGAAAATGAAAAGACAAGCCAAAGACTGGGAGAAAAATTTGCAAGTCACATATCTAATATGCATCTGGAATTTATAAAGAATCTTACCACACAATAATAGTAAGACCATCTTAATCTCTTTTATAACACAGTAATAGACAACTCAATTTAAAATTCAGCAAAGGCTTTGAATAAACATTTCACCAAATATAAACAGATATCAAACATAAAGATATTCAAAATCAGTAATAATTACGATATGCAATTTAATCCACATGAAACACCACTCTGTACCACTAGAATGGCTGTAATAAAAGACAACTATTGTGCTAGGGAGGATGCAAAGAAACTGGAACATTCACATATCATTAATGGAAATACTAAAACAGTGCAGCAACTTTAGCAAAGTTTGGTAGTTTCTTAAAAAGTTAAATCATCACCTGAACCAATCATTTCACTCTTAGGAACCCAAGAAGAATAAAAACACATTCAAGCAAATACATGTGAGAATGTTGAGAGTGGTAATATTGGTTATAGCCAAAAACTGAAACAATTCAAGTTTTCCCTCAGTGGCTAAGTGGATAAACACTTGGGACAGGGTCGGGGATTTAGCTCAGTGGTGCCGCCGCCTGCCTTGCAAGCAAAGACCCAAGCTTGATCCCAGTACAAAAACAAAAACAAAAACAAAACAAAAAACCAACTAATACGGGGCACACTTATACAATGGAATATTATTCAGCAATAAGGGACACTGAAATTCTTTTTTTTTCTTTCTGGTATCAGGAATTGAACTCAGGACCTTGCACTTGCCAGGAAGGCATGGAACTGCTGAGCTAAATCCCCAGCCCCTTATTCAGCAATAAGAAGGAACTAAATAAAGCTAGGCCTGGGAGGCTGACATAGGAGGATCACAAGTTCAAGCCCATCCTGGGCAATTTATCAACTTATCAAGATCTTGTCTCAAAAAACAAAAAAGGGGTGGGGATGTAGCTCAGTGTGATAACCCTGGGTTCAATCCCCAGGGCTAAAAAAAAAGGCTTTTCATCTGGTTTCTTACACAGAACATAAAGCTTTTGAGATTCATCCATCCATGTTGTACAACATATCGGCAGTTGAGTTCCTTCTTTATTTTTTTGTACTTCCATTTGTAATTTGTAATTCCATTTGTAAAAAAACATCTATAGAGTCAAAAAGGAAGTGTTTGGCTGGCTATTGGTTGGCTAAGGATAGGGTGGGACAGGATGGAAATGGGGATCTAATGCAAACAGAATATTTTGGTGTAATGGAAACATTCTCAAACTGGCTCCAGTAATGGTTAGCCAACTCTAAAAATGTATTAAAAACACATACAATTATAGTGATGTATTTTGTGATATGTAAATTATACCTCAACAATACTGAAAAATAGCCATGTGTGTGTTTATATACATATACATCTCCTCAGATAGAGTAATCTTGCACAATTTATTTTCTTTCTCTTTGTGGGGGTGTGTGGAAGAGCAGGACTTTATTTTTTAAAGAAATGGGCTGGCTCTCAGTGTGTAACTCTGTAACTCACTGCTTTCACTGCTCTCACTGTGTAGTAACTCGGGTTCAAGCAGTCCTCCTGCTGAGTAGCTGGGAATACAGGCACAAGCCACTGCACCCAGCTTTAATTTATATCTATCATACTGCTTTACTGTACAGTGGCCTCTACTGGCCAAAATGAGAGATTATGATTATTTGATTACTAGTTGTTTTATATAAATATTAATAATGTATCCTCTATATAAATAGGAATAGAATGGCTACATTTTCTAAAAAGGTAGAGGTTATAAGGTCCATGTACCCACTTAACTTCAAACCAGAAAAGATAAATAGCAAGAGTGAACGGACATAAACAAACTTGCTCCCAACCTATACTGTTGCTATAAAATAAACCTTATAATAACATATTTTTTGAAAATATTCATAGCTGGTTGACCTCTCCTAATGGCATTCATAGAAAGATGTAAGGGGAAAGCCCACAGTTTCAAGTTTATACTATGTAAATAAAATGTAAATTCAAGAAGCCACTGAAGCCAATCTGATGACGCACTCTTATAATCTCAGCCTCAGAAAGCCGAGGCAGGAGGATTGTGAGTTCAAGGCCAGGAGTTTGAGGCCAACCAGGATAACATAATGAGACCCTGTCTCATATAAAACAGAAAAAATCCAGGCATGGTGCCACACCCCTTAGCCCCAGCTTTCTGGGAAGGTGAGCCAGGAGAGTTAGAAATTTGAGCCCAGCACAAGTAATTCAGTGACTTAGCAAAACTGTCTCAAAAATATTTAAAAGTGGTAGGGCTGGGAAGGTAGCTCAGTATGAAGTCCTTGGATTCAATCCCCAGTAACATTAAAAAAAAAAAAGCCACTGACTCACCTGTAGACGTCAAAAAAGGATGACAAAAGCATGAGTTTTGAAGTTAGCTTGGATTCAAATCCTAACTCCAACATTTACTTACTATCAGACTTTTGGTTTATTATTTAATTCATCAAAATCTCAGTCTCTATTTTATACAATGAAGAAAATATTCTATCTCAAAGGACTTCTAAGTGTACTGCTTAACACACAGCCATCATACAATAAATATTAGATATAATTACTGTTAGTTTAGAACTTGACAATAATTTTGTTTTTGTTTTTTTGAGACAAGGTCTCACTTTGTAGCTCAGGCTGGCCTCGCACTCGTGGCAATCCTCCTGCCTCTGCCTCCCGAGTGCTGGGATTACAGGCGTGAGCCACCACACCTGGCTAATTTTAACATGACCTCTAAATTTTAAAAAATGTAAGATTCATATTCACCAAACATTTATTGAGCATTCCTTGTGTGCAAAGTAGTCTAAACTCTATGAAGAAATTGCTTTTAAAATGCTAAACTACTAAAAATGATTAGAGAGATTACTATGAACATTAAAAAATGTTATAGTGTACAATGTGAGAAAGATTATCAAACAATAGTAATGGTTATGACCTTATTTTTATAATATGCGTATATATTTATATATGTGCACAAACACAAATATACATATATGTTAAACCAATAAACTGACAGTCATCTTTCAGTAATGTCAAAATATTTTTTATTTTCTTTTTTCTTAAGTATGCTTTCCAATTTTTGTACAATGACTATTTTTTTTCCAGTAGCAGAAATCGAATTCAGGAACTTGCATTTGCCAGGCAGATGCAGCACCACTGAGCTACACCCCCAGCCCCCACAATGACTATTTAACACTACTACAAAAAATGGAAAAGTTAAACTTTGATCATTAGGGGTATTATATAACATTGGATGAGCTAGAATGTAGGCTTCTAGCATCCTTCATTAAAACTGGAAGGCAGGGACTCAGCATAGAAACACTGTGGTCCTGTTTGTCAAGATTAGAACAGAACAAAGTATGAATAATATTTATAACTCATTACATGATATTCTTTAGATTGTAATAGTATAATGCTTAAGTTTAGGGTGTTGTTAATTTTTCAGAATTTATGTTAACTTACCAGATGGAATTGTGTCCTAAAAGGAGGAAATAAAGCCAATTACCCTTAAAATTTTTCTGGCACTGGAAAGAATAGAATATCGAGCTAAGGTTCCCTGGGTTAGGGCTCCCACAGAAGGCAGAGACGCTGGGTCATGGCAGAGAGCTGGGATCTACAGAACTTCCTATGACAACAGCAAGCAAGGCTGAAGCATGACCTTACTCTCAGTAAGTGAGCTACTGCTGACTTTTGTGCTGCTGGTGTTACTGGAAATAAGGTTTCTCAGTCCAGCCAGCAGAATGAAGGAGCCCTTTTGAATTATTTCTGTGTCCTCAAAATTTTATTATTGGCATCTTAGTTATGAAAAAAATTTGACATCTACTCTCCATTGGTCAGATGAGGAAGAAGTGGCAGAAGAGGCAACAGTAAGAACAGCAATGAGACTACATGCTCCTCCACAAATAGCTGCTAAGATGCTACTGTGACTGACATCGATCAGTCTTAGGGAAAGGAGAAAGCAAAATATCAGAACTACGTTTTCCCAAGTGAAATAATAAAACTGAAAACTCACCTGAAAACATTTTGACAAAATCATCAGTGGACATACTCATCACCACATCTGCGCGGTTAGAGGGCTCCCCGTGTCCGACATTCCCACCCTTGCTTTTCAGATCAAGAAACCACGTGCCACCGTCTTCACCTATACACACACATACACAGAAACAGACTTAACAATTACTACAGTCCAGAGAATCTTCCAAAGTGCTGCTTCCCAGGTTAAAATCCTCAGACCTCTATCAATCACCCTCAGCAAATATTTATCAATCACCTATTTTTCTCCAGGTGCTATGTTAGGTTCTGAAGACCATTCAGGAAATAAGAGAAACGTGATTCTTCTCATAAAAGAGGAGGTGAAGGGTGATGTGAGCATACTAATCAAAGGTCAGGGTATCTAGAAGAGTGAAATTCATAAGGACAGAAAGAAAAATAGTGGTTACTAAGGACTGGGGGCAGGAGGGATGGGAGTTACCGTCTGATGGGCACAGAACTTCAGTTTGGGATAATGGAAAAGGTTCTAGATATGGACAGTGGTGATGACTACACAATAATATGAATGTACTTAATGCCACTGAGCTGTAGTATTAGAAATAGTCAAAAGAGCATTTTATGCATATTTTATCGTAATAAATTAAATTCCCTGGGGTGTAGCTCAGCTAAGCACTTGCTAGAGCGCTGGCCTAGCATGTGCAAAGCCTGAGATTTGATCCCCATCTATAAAAAAAATTAAGCTGGGCACAGTGGTGCACACTCCTGTAATCCAAGCACCATGGGAGGCTGTGGCAGGTTTGCCAAGCTGAAGCTCAGCCAGGCAATTTAGCAATGTAGTGAGATCCTGTCTCAAAATAAACAACAAATAAAAAGATTAGGGATGTAGCCCTGGGTTCAATCCCCATTCTGCAATAGATAGATACACAGAAAGACAGTCAGACAGACTGACACAAGCTGAAGGTGTAGCTCCGTAGTAACCGATCTACCACTTGCTAAACTACTTAATTATGAGTGGTAGAGTACTTGCCTAACATTTTCCCTAGATTTGATCCCCAGATCATGAAAACTTAATTAAATACATTAAAAACAGGTCCAGAAAAGTCCAGTTGAAGCTGAGCTTTCAAAGTTAAGTAAGAATTAGCTAGAAAGAATAGGAAGAGGGAAAATATTTCAGGCAATGAGAACACAGGATATCAAAAATAAAAACAAAACCACCAGCAGCATCAAGAGTGCACATAGCATGTGTGAGGACTGAGAGAAGTATTGCAGGACTGGAAGGTTGAAAGGGAGTGGAGAGGGGCAGCAGATGAGCTCAGGAGCAGTCTAGGCACAGAACACAGTGGGCCACGTAAAGAACGTACTCACTTCATCCTGTAGGATGCACAATGGAGAACATGGAACGCGGTTTGCATTTTAAATAAGCTGCCCTACCTGCAGTGTAGCTAATACACTTCAGAGTGTGACAGTTATCCTGATATGCCAACTTCATTGGGTTAAGACATGCCTAGCAGATTAGTAAAGCATGCTCCTGGCTGTGTCTGGGTGGGTCCTGAGAGGTGACCTTGAGTACTATAGATGGCCCCTCACTCTGCTTCCCAACCACCATGGACTAAGCACTTCAGCTCTGCCACACCCTACCACCATGAGGTTTGTACCTTGGAGCCAGCTGACCATGATTGGATCTCCTGAAACCACGAGTTAAATTCAGCCTTTAGGTTGTGGGTGTCAGGTATTATGTCCCAGCAACCGCGAAGCTGACTAACACAGAGAGGGAGTGAGAGGATGTGCAAGGCTGGCAAGGGTGGAGATGGGGCAAAACTAGGAGCTGGAGAATGTGTGTGTGGACCCGGATGGAGAAAAGTGAGCACACTTGAGATAGAATTTCAAAGCAGAATCACAAACCCAGGTAACTGATTTGAATATGCAGAAGAAAGGTAGGAAGGGTTCATAGGAATGATCTCAAAGACAGGTGCTGGGAATAGTGAGTTGTTTTGGATATTTTCACTTGGAGGCTTTGGGACAGCCAAATAAAAATGTCAAATGAAGTCTAAGCTAGATATATAGATACATAATTAATCAGTTCAGATGGTCACTGGTCCTACACAAATGGTTCCGAATTCCTAGAGCAAGTTTGTACAGTGTAAAGAGTGCTCAAGCAGCGACCTGAGAACACCATGTAAGGGAAAGATAGAGCAAAGGTGACGAGCAGAGCATGGCCAAGGGCTGAGAAGGAAAACGGGGAGGCTACCAAGAAAGAAGCCAAGAAAGGGGGCATTTCCAGAAGGAAGGAGTGGTCAGCAGGCTCAGACGCTGCAAAGTGGTCACAACTAGGAATGACCCACTGGTGCCAGGGATGTCACTCACACAAGACGCTGGAGAAAGCAATATTTTTATTTATTTATTGCAGTACTATGGATTGAACTCAGGGCCTTCTCACTAAGCCACATTCCCAGCCCTTTTTTTTTGTTGTTGTAGTTTTGTTTTGTTTTTGCTTTTTCTTTATTTTAAAAATTCGAGACAGGGTTTTGTTACTAAGTTGCCTGGGTTGGGCTCCAACTTGTGATCCTGCTGCCTCAGCCTCCCAGAGCACTGGGGTTATAGGCAGGCACCACTGCCACAGCAGGCTGAAGAAAGCAAATTTTCTGAAACACAGTAAAGTAGTATCAGAGCAGGAGTGTGAGGTGCAGATGAAAGTAAGTTTTCCCTTGGAAGGAAGAAAAAAAAATATGTATAGTTTTGTTACTGCTGTTATGTTCTGTTTTAAACAGAGCTAAGGAAATTAAACTAAAATTGGGAAGGAGGCTGCAGGACAAACAGATTGAAAAAAGGTATACTTGGGCCAGGGATTTAGCTCAGTGGCACCACACCTGCCTTGCGAGCACAAGGTCCTGAGTTCAATTCCTGGTACAAAAGGTGGGGGCATACTTAACAGCACAATTCCTGAGGCTAAAGAAACAGGATCTAACTCTGCTACTGCAAGCCAGTCAGAAATGCAGAATTTCAGGCCCCAGCCTAGACCTATGCATCATATTCAGCATCTGAAGACAATCCCAGGTACTGAGAACTATACGGAAAACAAAGGCTGGGATGCACTGACCAAGAGCTGAGTCCTGTTCCACTGGGAGGGAAGGAGTCGCCATAATGACTGGTCTATATCTGATGGCAGGAAGCTAAAGCAATTCCTTTCCATAAATTTGTGTGAAGGCTTAAAATAGCTGCAGTGGAAAGTGAGGTAGTAAACCAAAAACACAGAATTCTGAGGTGCTGCTTAGACTCCACTTGAACAACTGCTGTTTTTTTTTCTTCAGCAAGACTTAACAGTCTTGATACAACTATGGGGCAGCCATATAGTTTGATTCACCCTAAACTAGGCTTTTCCAGGTGATATCATAAACAAAAGGGTCCAGTAAGTTTTCACAGGCAGGAGAGCGAAAGAAGCAATGGGCCATGGATTCCAAGGACAAAAAAGAAGCAAAAAATAGGAAGGCAAAAATTGATTAAGTTAAAGCAGAGGAGACAAAGAATGAAAAAGTCTGTATAGCAGAACCAAGGTAGTTTTTAAAACTACCATCAACGTGTGTTAATTATATACAGAAAAAATTATGAAGAGGTTTTTAAAAGCTAACCACATTCAAAGATAAAAACAGTAAGGCGCCTGTGAAGGTTGAGCTTAACAGTCAACTTGATTGACTGAGAAGACACATAGGGAAGAGGTAAAGCACATTTGTGGGTGTGGATGGGTAAGTCATTGAGGCATGACCTTGGGTACTACTATATCTGGTCCCTGGCCCTTTCTTCTCTGATGTTCCCCTCATCTGCTTTCTGGCTGCCATGTACTAAGCAGCTTTACTCTACCACACTCTGCCATCATGATGGCCTTGCAGCTAGCCAACCATGGACTGAATCCTCTGAAACGATAAAGCAAATAAACCTCTCCTCCTTTAAGTTGGGGAACAGAAAAGCTTGTCCGAACAGAAAAGCTGACTGATCAGGGCCTAGGATTGATCATTTATTGTATTACACTCCCTGTCATGATGCATATGCCCTTCTACATAAGATTCCTTTTCCTTTACATAAGAATATGCTGAAGAGTTTGGAATTATTGTTTGTTTGTTTTTGCTGTATGGAGGATTGAACCCAAGGCCTTCATACTGAGCTGCATCCCCAACCTTTCTGTTAAAATTTTTTATTTTTGAGTCAGGATCTCATTAAGTTGCCACAGCCTAACTCAAACTTGTGATCCTTGTGCCTTACCCTCCCAGAGTGTGCTGGGATTACAGGAATACTCCACCATACCTGGCTTTAATAAGTTATTTAATACTGGAAATACATAGAGTATAATTGTATTATACTCCTGTATGGACTGATCTTAACTTCACATCAACAGTTATTTGCTATTCTCCAAAGTTTACTTCCAAGAGTCCTGTATATAGCCAACTATCCAAGTGATCACTATCAAAGATTGACTTTCTTCACAAAGCCATATCCTACTGTTTCGTAAAAGCTCCAGATTATTAGACACAATCCTTACCTGACAGTTCAAACTGATAAATGGCTTGCGTGGCTTTAACGACATCATCACTGAGAGCGTCCTTAACAATTCTAAATGTTTCTTCCACAGCTCCAGAATGTGGCTTTGCTTGTGGATGTAATTTTTCTTCTTTTAATTCTGGAACAGCACCTGTAAAATAGGTACTTACAGTGTTAAATAACTCCTTAGAGCCACGTATAGTGATGCATGCCTGTAATCCAAGCTATTTGGGAGACTACTGCCAATGATTTTGAATAGACACTGAATTAAACTCTATAAGACTTAGTGTGTTAATACATGCATATACTCATAGACACATTTATTCTACGATTTGAAAACACATTTTGTCAATAGCTCCTGGTATGTTTGAAAAGGTTTCCGTTGTACCTCAATGAAATAGCTAATACTGTATAACCCTTGTAACATTTACATGCAATACTCTTCCCAGTGTATTCTTGAAAATAAGTTACTTTGGGTAAGTGACTCAAGTTACTCAAGGGTAAGTGACTGAGGGACATTGATAAAAGGTACTTTTCGTTTTTGTGTTTATGTAGCCCAGACTGGTCTCAGACTCTCAATTCTCCTGCTCTGGCCTCCAAAATATTGAGACTATAAGCAGTACAGGTGTAGGGGCTGGGGATTTTGCTCAGTTTTTCCACCGCCTGCCTTGCAAGCACAAGGTCCTGAGTTCAATCCCTGGTACAAGAAAAAAGAATAGTGTTACAGCTGTATATACACCCAAACATAAAACAGTGTTTATTTTTAGATGGTGACTACTCTTTTTCTATTAAAAATTATTGAAGCCATGTACGGTGGCACATGCATGTAATACCAACTACTTCAGAGGATGAGGCAGAAAAATCACACTTCAAGGGGAGGAAGGGTAATTAGCAAGAACTTGAAAAGGGCTAGAGATAGAGCTCAGTGTCAGGCCCTGGGTTCAATCTCTACTACTGCAGAAACAAAAACAAAGCAAAAGCCTTTTTTAAAAAACAAAAAATTCACAAAGGTAATCAAATACAAAATATATAGAAGTTAGTTTCCTCCTATTTATAACTTGTGCTCCAGAAAGCACTTCAACTTGTTTAATTAAACATAATTCAAGAATGAACTTAAGGGCCAGGGATTTAGCTCAGTGCCTGCCTCGCAAGCGCAAGGACCCAAGTTCAATCCCCGGTACCAAAAAGAAAAAAGAATGAATTTAAAAGGCCAGGCGTGGTGGCGCATGCCTGTAATCCCATTAGGGAGGATGAGGCAGAAGGATCACGGTGTGTTTGAGACCAGCCCAGGAAACATGGTGAGTTGAATTCAACTTGCTATTCAGACTGAACTGAATAGCAAGACCCTGTCTCAAAAGGAGGGAAAAAAGGAAAAAAAAAAAAAAGAATGAATTAAAATAAAAAAGGCTGGGATGTAGCTCAGTGGCAGAGTGCTCTCCCAGCATGTGCAAAGTCCTAGATTTAACCCCTAACAGTGGAAGAGGAAGAGGAAGGAGAGAGAGAGAGAGAGAGAGAGAGAGAATAAAAGAAACAAGACAGGTTTTAAAATGGCAACTGGAATGCTCAGCGATTCGTTATACAATGGTAGGAAGCACACCAGAAATTTTAATTGAGGCAGTCTGACTGCAGAGTCTGTAATTTTATCCGCTCAGTAATGGTTCTTCCAATTTCTTTCTATATCTTGCTGTCTAATTCTTATACAGGACATGGAACCAAAATCTGAACTCACCAGAATGACTCAAGTACTGGCTGCCAAAGGAAGGGTAGCAAAGGCACAGGCTTCCTTTATGTTTCCATAAGGAGGGAATGTATTTACATTTGATGGTTACACTTAGAACTACTTAGAACTACTTTTGTCATATAAGTAAATGCTGGAATCCCTGCCTTACTCCAGGTGACTTATATATTAATCAAGGTATATCATCTCTATTGTCTGGAGTATCAAAAAGATTGTAGCAGAAACACAAGGTTAGCCCTGAAAGGCATTTGCCAAGAGATAAATGTCATTATTTATCACATGGAATATTTAGAAATATTTATAATGACTTGACACAGGAAAATGAAATTCAGGAGACAGAAATCAATCTGTACATTTGAAAAGGGGTAGTAGACTACAAGTATGTAAGCTTGAATGAGACACTCAGAGCATTTCAATAATTTAAAAATGAAGAGACACATACTAACAGCCCTTAACAGTGCCTCTCCTAACTTCACTCTAAATAAATAAGAAAATGTATTTTAAAAAGGCTGAAGGTGGAGTTCAATGGTAGAGCACTTGCTTAGCTTACACAAGGCCTTAAGTTTGACCCCATACTGCAAAGAAGAGAAAAAAATACTTACAACAACAAAAATACAAACACCAAACAATGCCTAGACTAGACATACAATCAATCTATTGCTCACATCTAGGAAGACATGTTTAGTAACTATGATACCTAGACTCAACCCAAAACACACAAGCCTGCTTATCCTTGCCTCAGGGAAGATCTCAGAGGAGGAACAGCTCTGCCCACCTAAACAACAGAGAGAGGCACTCAGTTTTAAAACGCTGGATCAGCATCTGGATGTATACCAACGGGGAAGTAAACACTGCCCCTCTGTCTTACACACGCTGCCTTTCAAGAAAGACTCAACATTTGTCTTTATTTTCATATTTCAAATCCAAGTTCAAAGCTTGAAGCTTCCAAGTAAGAGAAGGGGCAGATGGTGGGGTGGGCGGAGCCCTGGCCGGACCCTTCTGAGAAGCACAGGCCCCCAGAGCACAGCTCACAAAGGACAGGGAGGAAGAGCCTTGGCCACAGGAATGCTGGAGAGAGGAGTCTTAGCAGAGGAGAAAAGAAGTTCCCATGTCAGTCAGCTTTGTATCCTGCACTAGCATTGTGCCTAACAGGTATGACATCAGTTCAGAGAAAGGATTTCCAACAGGTGCACAGGGAGCAGGGCCAGAAGCAACCTTCATATTCCTGACATTTGACTACACTAGCTCTAGAGAGATCTCCTAACAAGAGCATGGACTAACAGGGAGGAAAACAACCTGATGCCTGGGAAAAAGTAATAGAGCACAAGGGTAATAGAAGAAAAGTCTCTCTCTAAAAATAATTTACTGGGAAAACCACTGCTTCTCAGCCTTTTGACTAAGATCAGGTGTAGTATTGTGAAAACCGAAAGACCTCCTCCACTAAAAGCTACATGACTACAATGTGTGGATTTTGACTAACACATGTACCACTCGGGTGGAGGACGCTGATAAGGGGAGGCTGTGCGTGCGTGGAGCATAGACTACATGGGATTAGCTATGTATCTTCCTCTTGATTTTGTTGTGAACCTAAAGCTGCTCTGAAACATAAAGTCTTAAAACAATATACAAAACAGTTACACAAAGTCATATAACTGCCTGAGATGGGGACATAACAGAATAAAAAAAAGAAAGGTAAGTTGAGAAACAAAAGTACAATAGCAAAATTAAACATTAAAAGAAAATGGATCAGAAAGCAAAGTGTAGAAAATCTTGTCAGCTTGTTCTCTAAAATACAAAGACAAGCCGGGCGTGGTGGTGCACTCCTGTAATCCCAGCACTCGGGAGGCCGAGGCAGGAGGATCTCTGTGAGTTTGAGACCAGCCTGGGCTACATAGTGAGCCAGGTCAGT